TTAAATCTGCCTTTTCATTTGCCATAATTATTTTGTAATTCATCCATGTATATCAATAGTTGTTTTTTTGTATTGCTAAATAATATTTCATTTTATGGAAAGATTTTTGTTTATCCATTCTCCTATTAATGAATATGTGAGTTGCATACAATTTTGGCTATTATGAATAAAGCTACTATGAACAATAATGTCCAAACCTTGTGTAAACATATATTTTTATTTATATTGGGAAAATATCTAGTAGGATGGCTGAGTTTTCTGATGTTTGTTCAACCTTTTAAGATACTGCCAAATAGTTTTTTCAAAGAGTTCGTAACATTATACATTCCCACCAGCAACATATGAAGTTCTAGTTGGTCCAACTGCAATTGGTATTGTCAGTCTTTTTCACATCAGCCATGCCAGTGGGTATCTAGCGCTATTTCACCGTGGTTTCAGTTTGCATCTCCTTCATGGCTAAGGCTGCTGAACATCTTTTCACAAACCTGTGGTCATTCATACATCTTTTGTGAAGTGTCTATTCAAATCTTTCAGCCATTTTTAATTTGATTGTCTTATTAGTTTTAAGAGTTTGCTATATATTCTGGATATAAGTCCTTTTATATATATACGTACTGCAAGTAGTTTCACTTAGTCTGTTACTTCCCCCCTTTTTTTTTTTTTGAGACAGTCTTGCTCTGCAACGCCAGGTAGGGTGTAGTTGCATCATCATAGCTCACTGCAACCTCAGACTCCTGAGCTCAAGGATCCTCCTGCCTCAGCCTCCCAAGTAGCTGGGACTACAGGTGCACGCCACCACCCCTGGCTAACTTTTATATTTTTGGTAGAGACAGGGTCTCACTCTTGCTCAGGCTGGTCTGCAACTTCTGACCTCAAGTGACCGTCCCACCTCAGCCTCTCAGAGTGCTAGGATTACAGGCATTAGCCACCACGCCAGGACTTCATTTTCTTAGTATCTTTCAAAGAGCAAAATTTCTTGATTTTGATAAAACCTAATTTACCTTTGTGTGTATGGCTTATATGTTTTGTGCTTTATCTAACAAATCTTTGTCTACACCAAGGTCATGGAATTTTTTCCCTATATTTTCTTATGCAAATTTTATAGTTTCAGTTTTCACATTTATGTCTCATCTATTTCAAATTAATTTTTGTGTATGGGGTGATGCAGAAGTTAAGGTCATTTTTTTCCATATGGTCAACCAGTTGTTCCAGCCACATTTGCTCAAAGCCTTTCCTTTTCTTCACTGGACTGCCTTGGAACCTTTACCAAAGATCAGTTGACCACACTCGTGTGGATTCACTCCTGGATTCTCCATTTAGTTCCCTTGATCTGTATGTCTGTCATTTCACCAATACCACCCTGTCTTGCCTATTACTGTGGCATTACGGCTAGTCTTGATGTCAGGCAGTATCATTTCTCCAATTTTGTTTACCTTTTAAAAATTGTTTTGATTAATCTGTTGTTTAAATTCATGGTTTTGCCAGACAGGTGTGATAAAACGCAAAGGGTTTAGGGCACTGCCAGAGAGTGTTACGAACACACCATTAAGTGGATCGTGATGTTTTGCTGAACGTCAAGACAATCAAGGTCCCTTTGGACTGTATTGCGACAGAGGGCAGGACAGCTGAAATAGCCCTAGGGCATGACCATAAATGTGTTCTTTTGTCCGTAACAAGTGACTGTGAACTGCTTTTCATCTTCCTTCCTGACAGGCACTGAAAGAAGGCATTCTTCATGTCAGCAGTTGCAGGTGAAGTGCCCTGGGCCGCATGGATCTAATCCAGTCAAGATACCGTTGCTGGTACAGCAGCTGTGGCCAGGAAACTGCTTGGTTAAATGGACAACAGTTCACCATCGCCTGCCACAGTCCATCAGTCCTCTGCAGGGGTAGTCTCATTAATTAAATGGACAAATTCTAGGAATCACCACCCCTGAACCATTAAATCAGTGACAGTGACATTAATCTCTGCCATTCCACCAGGATGTATTATTTCTGATCCACTCTCTTGCACAGTTGTTTCGGTGGTTTCTACTTGTCCTTTCCTGCCACGATGATTCTTTACCCATAGGTCAAAGAACCAATGTGATGGTTCTGCCAGTTATTAAATATGTCCATGAAGAAAATGCAGTCAGGGACTGGGAAAATGACCACAGAGTGGGTCTAGGGACACAGGGGACCCAATTGTGAAACGGACTTGGGCCAGTGCTCCATCTATCGCCTGGGCTCCGCAGGCCGCCATCTCACATGGGCACCATGATGGTGTTTCGGGTCCCCTGGTAGCAATGTTAGCTTGACTCTATTCCCAATAATCCTTAAAAGATCTGGTTAGATCACTTTCCCCGGTGTACTGTTACTTGGGCAAATGACCTTAGATTCCTTTGAGAAAGGATAAGGAATCGCTCTGTGCACATTTGCTGTGTTACTGCAGGGTTCTTCACCAAGAGGACACAGCCTCTTTCTTCAATCGATTATCTCTGGTCTGAGAACTGGTCCAAGTCTGGGAATTGAGGGATTATGATTTTCCATTCTGGTAGACAGGTTGGTTCCCCCAAAGGTGTCCAGGCCCTAATCCCTGGAATTCCATGAATGTTACATGACATGGGTAATGGGGTTTTGCAGATATAGTTGAGGTTACAGACCTCAAAATATGGAGACAGCCCTGGATTCTCTGGGTGGACCCAATCTAATCACATGAACCCTAAAAAGCAATGAACTTTTTTTCTAGCTGCAGTCAGAGAGAAGCAGCAGAAGGGGAAGTTAGAGAGTCAAAGCATGACAGGGTCTCAACCTTCCATTGCTGGTAGACTCAGCATCTGTGTTGCACATGAAAACATGAGAAGAAATGCAGGCAGCCTCCGGGAGCAAAGACTGGATCCCAAATGACACACAGACATATTTTCACATTTGAAAGATCCTGTGGATCTACATACTCTACAACCTTGCAACTGAAATTATGGTTCACGGACCAGCACCATCAGCATCACTTGGAAATTTGTTAGAAATATAGCACCTCAGGCCCCAGTCCAGATCTACTAAATCAGAAGCTGCATTCTAAAAAGATCCATAATGACTCCCATTAAAGTTCAAGGAGCACTTCTATCACTTGGTATTATCAGACATTAATTTTTGCCACTCAAATGTCAACTAAAATCTCATTGTGATCTTCATTTGCATATTCCTAATTACTTTGAACATACGTTCAACATATGTTGACTATGTATCCCCTCTTCTGTGAAATGTCTGTTTTGTATCTTTTTCCCATTTTCCTATTGGGTTCTTATTGATCTTTGCGTATAATGTGAAGTAAAGAACCAATTTCTTTCTTAGGGCAATAGTATGATTTCTCAATTGACACACACTTACATGTGAAATGCTTGGAAAAATTGTTTTGGCACTATATAAGGCATAATTCTTAAATATCCAGCATAGTCTTCTCCCTTTATTCCAGATAACAGAAGCATGTAAATTAAATGATCTTCTTTGCACAAATGATTCTACCTCAAAGTAATTTATAACATATAATTCTATCTGTAAAAAGCAATTATAAACCTTCTTATAAACTGAATATGAATAAAAATATGAAAACGAGCACAAATTTAAAAGCCCTCTATGCAAAAATTTTAATACGTTGGCTTTAACCATAAACTTTTTTTTTTTTTTTTAAATGCTACACACAAGCTGGGTTATGGGCTCATAAGAGTCAGGTAACAGCTACAGATGAGTCTTCTTGTTAAGAATTCACTGAAGTTTTTGAACCTCTGAACATAAGGCAATAGCTGGTAACTGCTTACAGAAACAGAAAGAAAGTATTATTAAAAACTTAGCTTAATCTAAGGAAAGAAGACTGTATTAAAGACAAATTTAAAATAACATTTAGGGAATCAGGAATCTTGATTTAGAATATTGCTTTGAATTATAATATTACTTTGTATTTACTAGTATATCCTATTAGTAGTTTTGCACTGCCTTTCAATATAGAATTAAATCTCCTCTTATATAAAATAATGTTCAGCTCTAAAAACACTCTAAAAAGATGTATTTTAAAATGCAGCACTTAAACTATTTTGCAAATGATAAATAATAAAAATCAAGATGAATCTAGTGACCATGAAAATGTCACATTACTCCTCACAAAAGAGTTAAATGCAAAATAGATGTTGCCTCATACTTTACATTCAGTTTGTGTCTTTATCTCTACTCCCAGGCAAATATTCTCTTTTAAGACTAATGTTATAACTGTTTCTTGTAAAGACATTTAATTTATTGTTACTGCATATTTATTTAAGTTATCATTTGTGACTATTCATAAGGAATTACTTAGTAAAATCTTAGGGTAAGGATCATTATTATATTCACTCATGCAAAATAAATCTTAAATTTAAAATTTTTAAATCTTGTATTTCTTATGCAGTTTTTAAGTAGCTCACTACACTATTTTGAGGGTTAAAAAACACTCCCTAAGATGATGAGATCTATGTAGATCTATCTACTGTACCAGATATTAAAACCTTAAGATAAGGGTTAATCTTCATTACCTGTGAGAATTTCTATACCGCACACTTAAATTTGCACATTGTTTTGTCCAGCCACTCAATCAAGAGTAATACCACTCAAAGAAATCAATTTTAAATTCATGTCTTTATTTCTTTGATACTATTTTTTCCAAAGTATATAAAAATTGGTCACCCAAGCACATGCAAAAGAAACACATTTATCTTTAGGAGGTTTGCTAAAGTACTGACAACTGATCAATGTCCTCTAGATACTCTCATTTTGGCAACAGCCCACAAGGTTAACTTCTAGAAAATCCAGCATGATAAATGAAATAATTCATCATAATTAGACAATATAATTTTTATCACTTTTGAGGCAAATATATAAATTCACACCTGTTTGTATGACTTGTAAAATACCTATGCACCAAAGTTGCTACAGCCTGTAAGACAACCAAAGATAGACAATGTATTTCCTTTAGAAAATACGATTGGTCACACATTGTTCTTTTCAGATATATTCATATGAAGGTGGAAATCAGCATTGGCAGCATGAGTACAGTTGATTAGCAAATGCAGGTGTCATTGTCTAACCAACAGCCAACATGTGCCCTTGACCCCAACATCCTAATACCTGAGTGATCTACAAACTACACGGTGAGCTGCAACCCCCCGTCCACTACTAGAACGTGCCCCGTAATATATGGCGACTCTAAAAGAAACACGACAGCATGTGCCACCTCAATAGCTTCTCCAAACCTCCCAAGAGGAATATTTTTCTTTAAATGTTCTTCTTTCAAGTCTTTCGTCATATCTGTGTGAATAAATCCTAAAAGAGAAATGTTTATTTATTTAGTTGAAAGGGGTAGAAACTGAGACATCAGCTCAATTAAAAAAAAATGAATTTGTTCCTGAAAATTTAATTTGAAATTATTAATAAACCTTGTTTAGAAAATAGAGTTTTGTTAGCAATCAAGTAACCAAGTCTACATTTTTATTCAATTCAACTCAATGAATGTTTATTGAACACTACATTATCTCGCTCCCAATTATGTGCCCCCCTCCTAGCAAAATGTAAGTGGGTAGATACAAACATGAATGAAGCAGAATTCCATTCCTTGGGTAACCGCTGATGGATTTACAGAGGAAACAGTCACTTGCACACCCAATCGCATAAGGAAGTCTGGTGAATGTCCTTATAAAGGTATACACAAAACACCACAGAACTTATTATTTTCCACTTGGGTAGGGGGAGAAGAGTGGAGGCAGCGTCAGCGGAAGGAAGGTATCACAAAGGTGGTCACATGAACTGATTTGGCGATTCCAACAAAAATTAGTTGGTTCCATTTGCCATAGCTAAGATAGTTGATGATCAGAAAGGTATTTTCCATATCCATGTAAGGAAAAAAATCTTATGGTCATATCCAATTCTGATGCACATATACACAGAAAATTCAAAATTTAATACAGTATTGATGTATATAATAAAGCTTGCAGAGAACGTGTTCTTAAAAAAGGTATAACATTCTATAATATAAAGTACTACATAACATATTAAGCAACCAATTCTAAATGATTACATACATATGCCAGGAAGAATGGTAGATTTATTAAGAAAATCTTGTAAGATTAACATGAGACATATAAATTCATATTAGTAATAAAATACTTAACCAATATAATCAGTATTCTATACAACACTCAATCATTTAGGTT